TTTAAATATAGACATAATCAGTGGCAGGAGATCCTGGCTTTTAAATTTCTTTCCTATCCCAAATATCTTCCCACTCACCCTCCACTGGTTTGGTGTTCCAGGTTCAGAGGTTCAGTGTTCCAGTTAATACAGTTAGAGATTTCTGGACAGCTAATACAAGAGTTTATCATAATACATGTAAACCTCAAAGGAAGCCAAAAGCTAGATTTTTTCTTAGCTGAGGTGTTGTAGGAACAAGACATTAAAGGCATGGATATTTTTCAGGAGAAAAGGAAAAGGCATCCAATCATTTTTTTCTGAAGAAAGTTAGGCTTGGCCATTAGTAACCAAGACCTACATAGAAGGAACTTCAGGAGTTGGATAAGTTGAAAAGTCCTTGGTCAAAATCAGAAATTTTCTATAGTGGCTCTTTTTTAAATTTTCTATATATTCATCAACTTACTTCACTGATTTTCAAGTATTAAATTTCTTGATGTAAATATGTTTCTGGCAACAAAGCCTGAAAGATATCGAGGAAAAACAACAAATGTTTAACCAGCAGCTCTCCATGTGCTGACGTTTAGCATCTGTGGTGAGTGTCTGATTTCAAACTATTAACATGACATCTCTGAGCTTGGAGCTAGTAAATTATGCTCAGAAGCAAAATATTGTACAACATTTAGACCATACTAATCCAAATGACAGAAATAACCTGAAAAGCATGAATTAAGATAAAGTGTGGTGAGGCAGGAGCTTTTTCTAAATTTTTATCACCTTTGTTTTTAGCATGTTTTTTTTTTTCTTACTGTGGGTTTCTGTTTTCCAGTCTTTAATGATTGTGTTTAATTCCTGATGCTTAACAACCAGCTCTTAAGAGCATCACCAGATTTCCACCACTGAGTTTTCCCTTAGATCTTGTCCCTCATCTTTGTCATTGCCATTTCTTTCAGTTAAACATGTGCTAAATCCTGTGCAGGTATCATGGCACTGCCTTTCTATGTTTCTCTGTCTTGCAGACAGCAATCCCCCAGATAAGATGTGAGGGACACACCTTCTCCAGTAGCAGTTGGAAATCTCACAACTCATACCCCTGTTATTTCTACCTCCCTGGGTTGATGAAAAGCTCACCCAGAAGTTCTTGGGTCTCCCACCATGGTGTGAGTCCAAAGGATTGTATCGAAAGTCCTTACCCTCGTCATGGTGCAAGCCAGTATAATCCAAAGAGAGGAGATGCCACAGATTTCCTCTCCTCCACAGACATAGAGCAGAAGACCAAAAGACAGATATTCCATGTTCTCAGTGAGGACCTGAACAAAGCTGCCTAGAGGGCCACATTTGACCAGTGCAGCTTCTTGAAGAGAGGCCACCAAACATTTCAAAATGCTGAGCTCTCTCTGAACTTACATGAGTTATCACACAATTGAAACCAATTCCAGAGCTGGAAGTACACAGTCCCTTTTGTGGATATAGTACCATTGCCAGGGCATACAAAGCTTTCTGCTGGTACTTCTACCACATCCTCTGCATACCTGCTGGATTCAGAGATGGCCTGTTATGTTATTTCAATGAGCAAAGTATCTTGGAGAAGATACTCCCAGGTCTCCTGACTCCCTGGATCTGATGAGTGAAGGTGTGCATGGCTACTCTCCAGAAAGCCCATTCATTAATTCCATCTCCCAGAGCCTTGATTGCTAACACAACATACTATTTTGTGTCTCCATTAGGCTATGTAGTCAGTTGCCTCTCCAAAAATTCACATTTCCACTTCACAGTCTATGAAACCGTTTTGTGTACTTCAAAGCCCAGCTCACACAACAAAAAGTTGTTTCCACAGAACTTTCAACTTAACAAAAGAGGAGGCACTTGCTCCCCTGCACTCCCGAATGCTTTGTATGATTCTATCTTCCCACAATAAATTCATAGCTCCTTAATTTAAGAACCATGCTTTACATATCTTTGTATCCCCTGCGCCTAGACTTTGTACAGAAGGTATTCAGTAAAGGCCAGCTGTCTTTTATAATGAGGTTTTTCAATGAATTTAGAACACAAGTTAGCACTGTAATCTAAGCTATGGGATGCCATCTTAGTCAATAGTAATAGAAAAGTAGTAGACAAACCAAGGAAAGGAATTACTGCATTCCACTCTCAGTTGTCTAAGTGATACCGCAACCAGTTCTAAAACCTACCTAGTAACAGGGGCCAGAATGTGGGTAGCCAGAGTTCTGGAAACTTTTCAGCAGCAACCTCTCCCCTGTAAATGTGAATATTTTGTAAGGGATATTGATACTTATTTTGCTAGTTAGCCTATGTCATTCAAAGAGGGACCTGTTGTATACTGCATGAGGGATTACAGTGGCACAAGGGTTTCAGCTTAAAATTTCAAACTGCAGCTAAAGAAGGAGCTGCCTCAGCCAGCTTTGCGTGCCCTATCCCTGGGCTTGGTGCAGGAGAGCCTCTACTCGAGGCTGAACCATGTGCTCCAGTGAGGACGCCTGTGTTCATCTGGCAGGATACACATGGATCAGCCACAAGCTCCCATGCAATTCCATGAGGCTAAGGTTTTGTTACCTCATAGCTTAAAACTGGGGAGACTTTCATAACAACTACTTTGACTTAGGACTGAATCCCAAGATTCCTTCCAGCAAGTCGGGAAACTCAAATTTCTGTCATGATTATCCCGGAGACCCATTTGCCACTGTGACAAGGGGAGCACCTGTTCCATCAAGACAAATGTAGGGAACCTAAACATCTCTAGATGATGTCTACACAGGATTCTAACGCAAGTCAGAGGCTGGACCATTTAGCTAAAGCCACTCAGACAGTGTAATACCACAATAGGAATAAAATCTTGGGAACCTTTTTCCTGCTTACTCTCTCCAGATGTGGGACTTGGAACAAATGTCACTGTTACAAACAGATGTGACTTCACGTTCCCTCATCTAGAGCCCTTCAGATGGAGACTAGGAGAAGGGCTTTCAAATACAATTTCCTAATTGAAAATTCTACGAGCAAACTGTCTAATCAGTCCTGCTCAATCGCTGATGTGCACAGGAATTGCCCTGTAAAAACACATTCTAATTCAGGCAGTTTGGAGCGGGGCCTGAGGTTCTACATTTCTAACAAGCTCCCAGGAGATTACACTTGCAGCGACAAAGGATCAGGGTGAATTTTGTTAAGCACCATCACGTGGTCTCATCCTGTATGTGACGGGTGTTTATTATGGAGGACTAAGGAGAGCCATATCTTCCCCTGAAGTGACCAGTGAGAGATTCCAGTCTTAAGAAAATCTCAATAAAAAAGCAGGCAATGAGCTGCCATAAGCTGTTGATTGTGTTTAATTTTTTAAAGATGGGAATGTGCAGAGGTGAAAAAGTAAACAGGAAAGAATCCCTCAGGAAGAAAACTCCAATTGGATTTGGAGGGTGGTTATTTTAGGAGGACAAACGGAAAGAAAGTATCTGCATATCAGAAGGAGATAATTGCTCTTAGTTCAGTTTTTCACGAAGTTTGCAAGGAGGGTAAATAATTAGTCCCTTGAGAGATGAGGGAGAGAATGTTCCTAGGCTGAAAAACGATTTCCCCACTGTCCTTTTCAGCAGAATCAGAAGTATCTGCCCCCTTGTTAATGAAGCCCAGAAATGCAAAACTTTCCTATGCTAGTTTTTTTTTTTTTTAAAAGAGACAAAGCTTAATTGGAGAGCAAACTAAATGGAAATAGTAAGAGATTAGTGCCTCTAGGCTGTGTACCCTGAACTTCTCCTACATTCATGCCCTGTCCTACTTGGCTCCATGGGGTGGCCCCACACGGAGCTATCCACATTGCATTTTACTACCAGGGTCTCTCCTCAAGGTGTCCTGTGGACAGAGCTAGGTTCAGAAATGAGAACTCTGCACTTACTTTTTGCCTTGCTCTGTTTATCCCAGCCTTGTTCTGACTCAATCTGGTACATAAAATCAAACATCAGAGCTATTCTCACCCTGCCATCATCCCATTAGCCACCCACAAATTTCCCAGGAATGCCTTCTCTCATCTCTCCTCCCACCCAGTTACCACAGCGTTGATCCAACTCATTTTCTCTTCATCTGGTTCCTCCCAGCTTTGGTTTCCCAGCCAGAAGCCCTAGTAATCTGGCCAGCCTGCTTTTAGGGAATCCAACCCCAGAGGACCCAGGCAATTGGCCCTCCCTCTGGGACATGGACCTGAAGTTCTGTTGGAGAAGACAGTAGTAGTCCTTGTGGAGGGGAAAGCAGGGAGTCTGAGAGTGGAGGTGCAGCTGTCCTTTCTTTCCGCAGTGTATGAAAAAGATAAGGCCCTCCCGACCTTGGAAGAAGAATTGAACAGTGGCTCAGGGAGCCATTACTGCTGAGAGGCAAAACACTTTGGGACTATCAGCGAGAAGTGGGTTCCCTGGGTGTGCATGGTGTTTCCATGCAGGAAGAGTCCCAGACAGGGGAACCAAGGGAGAAACACAGTTTCTTCAGTGTTGGGGTACCAAACTTCTCTATCCTTCATAGAGAGCCTCCCTTTCAAAACCCCTCCCCTTTGTGCCAAATCCAGTTCCTGAGGTAGGGACACACCCAAAATAAAAACTGCACACACAAAGACACATAAAGAAATGTAAGGAAAACTCCAGAGCCAAGACTGGGGAGGGGAGATTTTAATAGCAAATTTTAATAACAACGGTTACACTTACTGAGCTCTTACTGTATCCTAAATCCCACTGTAAGAACTTTATTTGGGTATCCCATTTAATAGATATCTAACCATTTTTCACTCCATGGTAGCTTGAAATCCTCCATTTCTTAACCATCAGTCTCAGAGACACTTGCCTTTGAGACAATTGAACAATGACATATGTTCAGTAGCCTTTTAGTGCAAGAGCCAAAACTTATGTGGGGATGAGGAAATGGGAGAGGCCAAGAAGGTGGAGATGGGAGAGCCCAGTCTGGATATCAGGTATCCACGGGCAATGAGAGTCCTTACTCTTAATGATGCTACAGGTAGATGCTCTCCACCTCACTTATCTGCGGACTGCTGAGTCTCTGAGGAGGATCCTTTGGGCCATGTCCTCAATAACCTCCTTGACCTTCTCACTCCGAAAGGTAAAGATGAACGGGTTGAGGAAAGGGGTTACCACTGCAGTCATCAGAACCACCGTCTTGTTAAAGTGTGTGGATGGCCCTTGCCTGGCCTCACATAGATGAAAATGGCACTGCCGTAGCCCAGAACCACCACTGTGAGGTGGGAGGCACAGGTAGAGATGGCCTTCTGGCACCCAGAGGAGGAAGGGATGTGGAGCACAGCAGCCACAATGAGGATGTAGGAGACCACGATAAGCAGCATGGTGGTCACCACAAACAGCAAAGACAGGAAGAAGTCCATGAGCTCAATATGACGGGTGTCAGAGCAGGACAGGTTGAAGAGTGGGGCAAAGTCACAGAAGTAGTGGTCAATGACCTTAGGGCTGCAGAACCAGAGCTGTGTTTTCTGCAGAGTAGGTAAGACAGTAGAGAGGAACCCAACCACCCAGCAGGCCACCACCGGCCTCACACAAACTGGGCCACTCATAATAATAGGATAGTGCAGAGGGCAACAGATAGCCACGTAGTGATCAAAGGCCATGACTGTGAGGAACAGGAAGGTGGTAGAACCCAGAGAGAAGTAAAAGAATGACTGGGTCAGGCATTGAGCCAGAGACATGGTCCTGTGTGGAGACAGCATGTCTGCCAGCATCCTATGAACCACAGTGGACATGACCAGCATCTCTGTGATGGAGAAGTTACAGAGAAAGAAATACATGGGAGAGTGGAGGCGGGAGTCGAGGCAAGTGAGGACAATGATGGCCAGGTTCCCCAGCATCATTAGCATGTATAGCAACAGGATGAAGCCAAACAGAAGAGTTTGGAACTCATGGAGATAAGAAAATCCCAGAAGAACAAATTCTCTGACATTGCTGTGGTTACTCAATGCACTTGACACCACTTCTGTGTGATATCTGTAAAAGATCAAGAAATCTTAGAGGAAAATGACTACCAACTTCTCCCTTGACTGAGCCCCTAATGGTGGCCTGGATATCAAGCATACGACCCTGTGGGCATGGTTGATCTCAATGTCCAGCTGGAATACTGCCAAAGTGTAGAAGCTACCTGAGGCCAGAAACGCACTGGCTGTGACGAACAGATTTAGGAGTCAGCTATGTTCTTCTTCTACCTTAACTCTTTCACAGTTTCATCCAACATACTTACCAAGCACCAGTTCTGTACAGGATATTTGGCTGGGTCTAGGGATAAAGTGGTAAACACTGTCTAGCTAACTTCCAGATTTAACTACTTTGATCAAATAGTAGTTTCTAATTAAAAAGATTTCTCCGTGTGCCCCAAATTCTGGAGGAAATACGTTATACATTGCTTTTTCATCTATTATACTCAATTCTTGGGATAGTTTTGTTCTCTGTGATATGTTAGGCCACATGTAACCCCTTCTTGAAACTGCTTGTGTCCTGGACAACAGGGATCCCAGACTCTACACATTTTCCTCCAGTGCTGACTTTGCCTTACCTGGCCTCTTCTCCAGTTGCCTGTCTTTTCATCACTGTTTAATACAGATTCTTCACCTTTCTCTTCTCATTCTTTTCTTTCTAAATCTAGTCTCTCCTGCAGAAATTTCACTTCTCTTTCTCTTTTTTTAAATTTACATCAGTCCATGCTTGCAGTATGTAATGATTAAATTCATTGTGAGGAGTTGCTGCATGTACATACACATCTTCCTTCTATTTTTCATCTCCTTCCTCTCCCTTCATTTCTTGGTCCCATTCACTTTCGCAAAAGACCAATCTCTTTTTCCCATTACCTTTTATTGTGGTCTTAATTTAATTAGTACAGGTGCATATTACATTCATTGTGGGAAGTCACCCCTCTCTCAACCAATCTTGAAAAAGTAGGTGAATCTCACATCTGGATTGCTGGCCTTCTCTTAAGTCTCAGCCTACATCCCACACAACCTTATGACCCCCCATTACACATTCAGTGCATCTGCAAATACCTAGCCATCCTTGACTCCTTCAGCACTGATATCATCTTCATAGCCTCCACTTCCTCATTATCTAAGGGTGACACTGCAAAGGACTGCTGATATTTTTCCTATTCTTTCTAAACCACTCAAATTGCTGTTTTTGAAAATATTATTTTTTCAGCCTTTTCCATAGCTACCATCCTAGTTCAAGAGTTCATTACTTGTACAATAATATACTTAATATATTTTCTTCATAGAGTCCCCTCTCTCTACCCCTCTATGCACTGCTATTATATTTAGTTACCTAAATGACTATGCCCACTGGCTGCCTTTCAAAATCTGAGGCAATAAGATTTCATTTATATATTAAAAATATACAAAATCAATTCATGTTAAAATCCATTTATTAAACTAGCAAGCCATCTCCCTCCATATGGGAAAAGACTACAAGGACACATTTTAAAATACTGGGATTTTTTTTTTTTCTTCTTCTTTTTTTTCTGGTACCGGGAATCAAACTCAAGACCTCATGCTTGCCAGGCAGGCGCTGCACCACTGAGCTAAATCCCCAGCCTGGCATTTTAAAATATTAACAATGGCTGTCTCTGCCTATTATTAAATTATATGTATAGATTTTCAGGTATACATTATTATATTTTAATATACATATTCATAGCGATCTGATTACTACAGTCAACCTAATTAATATGCCCATGGCTTCACACAGCTACTTCTTGCGTGTGTGGAGAAAAAATTTAAGATCTAATTTTTTAGAAAAATTTAAGTACATCACACAGCACCATTAATTATAATCCCCACCCTATATGTTAAACCTCTAGAACTTGTTTATACTATCAAACTGAAACAAATAAGTGATCCCATCCATCTTTCTCCAAGTATTTCATGCCACAGGCTTTGCAATTCAACTCTCTGTTAAAATTCCCATAGGGATAGCTCTACCATCCTCACATAAGAACTCTGTAGAGCCCTGGGACCCATCGGAAAGTCCACTCCCTGTTTCTCATCTTTCCTTCTGTCCATGTCACGCCTTTCAATTCTCCTGCTTAAATTATCCCTGTGCCTTTTGATTCCCAAAACAATTTCCTATCACAGAAGATGGCTCTTTTTTTAACACACTGAAAATGCAGATAGGGTAGTAGTTGTACTGTTCTCCTGGATCTTTGCAGCTGTAAATTTGATCATCAGGGACCTATGGCTGCTGGGCTTCTGAAGTGACTGACAGAACAGGATTGAGGAATAAGAGAGAGGGTCAGCAAGAAAAGGATCCAAGTCTTTGCTGGGTTTTTGGAAAGACAGATGGTAGGGGGAGGACACAGATGAATAGCACTCTGGGGCAAGCCAAACAGCTAGCAGCCAGAATTGAGTGGCAAAGAATAATCAAGAAGATTGTGTGCTAAGCAGCCAAGAGTCTAGGAAGGCTCAGAGAATAAAGAGACACAGCAGGGAAGAATTGAAGCCGAGCTCCCCAATCCTATCTCTGAAGAAGGAGCAGAAAGAGTAGGGTAGATGGAAATTCAGGGCGAGGAACAGCACAATGAGATTGACACAGGCAGTGGAGTCGTATCACAGTGAGACTCACTGCTGCACCGAAAATCAGTGATGTGCTCTGCCAGAGATGTTGGTGCTTTAGGACCACAGCATGAACAAAACAGTCCTCAACCTTCCAGCCAAGTCCGAGAAAAAGACTGCAAGCAAGGTGAAAATGATAAACCGTGATAATCTCTGAGGCACCTATGAAGAGGCCAAGACCAAGACAGGGGACTTACCAATGCCCGTCACATCCTGCTGCCCAGGTCCAGGCACAGCACTCAGAGCTCTGAGCTGGTAGACTACAGGTGAAGTGCAGGGGGTTGAAGAATGCAGAGCGGTCCTCTTCACACTATCTGCAGGCGCATCCATAACCAGGGACCTCTGGGGAAGTCCACAGTACACAAAGACCACATATTACTAGGATGGACACTTTCCACCACACCTGCAGGGTGCTCTTTCTATCTGCTGCTTCTCCCTCCTGCTGTCCAGCCCCTCCTGGAACTGACATGTAATCACAAAGACGGCAGCCTCCCTCTAGCAGTCCTCGCAGCCCCTGGTCCTGTTGATGTGCTTCAGCAATGTCTGGAATAGGAGTGTGACAGTGGGTCCAGAGAGCAGCAGCCTGTACTGGGGACTTCGGCCCATCCCAGCACCCTCGTCATTTGGGAAACAATGAGCTCCTGGGAGCAGGCAGGCAACTGGAGCCCACAGGGGCCTCCTGGGGGATTGGAACTGTTCTCCCTCCCTCTCCGGTCTCCTGTGGGCACAGAGCTCAGGGCAGACCTGACAGTACTAACATCTGTGTACTGGGGATAGTGGGAGTTGGATGCATTTACTTAAAACACAGACAACTCAGAAACAAATTCAATCAGCGAAGAATTCTCCTGATCTCTAGTCACCTACAAGGGAAAATCCAGGCCCAATGTCTTATGGGATTTTTCTTTTTTTATAAACTAAGAATAAGAGGGACAGTGAAGTAGGAGAAATATCTCTTTTAGAGAAAATAAATGAATAGGGTCTGAGCACCAAGCTATTGGGTACCAAAATGAGAAACTGATGATGTATAAATTATTTGAAGTGATAATTTTATACAGAAGCATGTCTATGCACATGCAAACACACACCCATATACACAAGGATATGTATGTGTATATAGTAGCTCCACCTTATCTGTAGCTCCACTTTCCATAGTTAACAGTCACCTGTGGTCAAACACCATCTTAATGGAGAATTATAGAAAGAAGCTATCAATACATTTTGAATTGTGTGCCTTTCTGAGCAGCGTGATGAAATCGCACACTGGCTTGCACCATCCCATCAAACATGTGGATCACTCCTTTCTTTATGTATTCTTGTTCCCAGCCCAATCCTCTCTTCTTCTGGCTACCAGAGGAGAACAACTGTCCTCCACCATGTACCGCTGCAGTGATGTTTCTGTCTTGGAGCCAGCTGACCATGGACTGACACTTCTCAAACCACAGGCCAAAATTAACCTCTCTTCCTTTAAGTTGCAGGTGCCAGGTATTTTGTCATAGCAACAGAAACATAGAAGACACAGAGCTTAAATAAATTCTATTAGCATAATGTACTCACATGAAAATTGTGTTAACAAAATAATAGCAAATCAACACAATATATCATCTCAAAGATTAAATCTAGTGTATAGCTCCACAGACTTCTGTGTGTCTAAGCTCTAAAAGAAAAGGTGTGAAGGCAGATTGTCAAGGATATATGACAGTTGTGCATCTGTGAGAAACCTATCACTCTTTTTTTCTCAACTTGTCATCCTTTGCCTAAATCCTTACGCACTTTTTGTTTGTCCTGGAGCTTCAAATCTCTAGTTGGACTCATGTTTAATTTGATGATGGGCATAGTCATCACCCCTGCAGTGCTCAAATACCAAACCATCACAAATATAAGAAGGGGTTTGGAACCCCTGAGTCATTTTAAGCAGTTTTGTAGCATATTTTATGTGTATCTAGAAACAGGAAGTGATTCTCCTGAAACAATAAAAAGGTAGAGAGAGTAAGGTAAGTTGAAAAAGTGGGAGTGAGGGAATTGTTTTAAGAAGCTTGATTTATCAAGAAATAAATAACAATAGAGGTCGAACTGAGTGAAGTAAAAGTTTTCCAAGAGGAAAACATCAAAAATAGGATGGGAGTTGAGGTGGAGAAAACCACCAAAGAATCACTAATGCAAGCTGGCTAAGAAGGAATCTGTTATTGTTTGTGTCTGTGTGTCCCCCCAAAGCCTCATGCGGCCATGGGGCAGCCTTTTAGAGTTTGACTGATTATGGGTGTGAGAGCTACACCCGCCCTGGGGTGGATAGTTTGCATGTGTAAGGGAGAGGAAGAGGGTGCTTCTGGCCATTTCCTCCCTTGTGTGTGTGCTTGTTGCTTTGCTGTGTTCTGCTGCCATGAGCTGTAGTTCTCTGCCATGTGCCACTCTGCCTTGTAATCTGCCAAGTATGGACTGAAACCTACACAAACTGTAAGCGAAATAAACCTTTCTTTCCTTAATTTTGGGCATCAGGTATTTTTGTCCCAGCAACGAGAAAAAAGTAACCAAGACAGAATCTCAGCTAGAAGAACAGATGTGACTAAATATAGGACCCCAGGGTATAAAAGAGGCCATCCAGTAGTCCCAGCAAGAGCTCATGGATGGATCTGCACTTCCGGCAGATAAACATACTTCCCCCATAAGCTTGAGGGACAAGAGGGCTGCAGTAGAGATTGACAGGCACAGAGAGCAATAACCTGAGTAAGAAAATGGCTCTTCCTGGGTGTGAAGGTCAGAGATGTCCCAACTAAGAAAATAATGACCTCAAACCATGCTAAAGGGAGAGTGAAATCATAAAGTCAGCCAGTGACTGTCACCACCCAAAGCCTGTTCTTAATAAAGATGAAGCATCTATAACTGATCTCAACTGCATGTAAATCTGCCTACATTTCCTTATGCTGTTCTGCCCATGAGCAAGTTTTGAGCTTATCTTACTTCCTGGAGATTGGCAGATGATTCCATAAAATGCATCCTCCCCCAAAAAGAAGAACAGGCTAAGTTAGGAAAAAAAATATAATCCTTTCTTACTATATAGGCAACAGAAAATGTCCCAGCACCAGCAAAGTGAAAATCTGAGCCAAAGAGAACCTTGGATTCGGGACTGATTGGTGATGGTTTGGTCAATCACTGGGCTACCTGCAGATGATACTTAATGAAACAGGTGCATAGTGTGATAAAGGAATTTGGACAGTTTGGGAAATTTAGCGATGGACCCATGAGTGTACATGGGTTTTATGTTCTGGATTTCATGGGGTTAATTAGTGTACCTCCTTGTGAACTTATAACCTAAAACAACAAGTGGAAGGCAATGATTTCCTCTGAGATGCATCATAACTTCATGTAACTAACCCCTCCTTCTGAAACAGTAATCTTCTTCCAACAGCAATCCTTTCCTCATCATTCTGTGCATGTACACACACACACACACACATACACACACACACACACACACACACATGACTCCACTGTTCTCTTAGAGTCCTGGATTTTTTACCCACCATGGTTGGTCTGGTCCCAAGGCTGAGACAGCAGGTGTTTCTCCTCCATTGGTTTCCAAGTGACCTCAAGAATATGACATCATCAACAGCTCAACAACTCAAAATCGACTCTTTATTGATTCAAATGAATATGCAAACGCCTCTTTGGTGGAGTTCTGTTCCAACTGCATCTTCCCAGCTACTGACCCAAGAGCAAGGATCACCCTTACTCCCATCGCATGTAGCCAACCACAGTCTCTATTTCTGTCAAGCACATTTGTTTTCCTTCATTATCATGATGAGCTCTTTCCCTGGAACTGCTGCTCGGTCACTTCTATCTCCTGGAAATGCTGTGTCACATTCTGCTCAACTCTTTCTCCTACTATGCACTGAAAAAAATGTGCCAGTCCCTTTCTATTATCCTAAGAAGCCTAATGGCTAATGTTTTATTTTGATCTGCTATTCAGCACTTAAGGACTAAATTGCACAAGAATTAAAACAACTTTAACATCTGGTTGAGGCTGAGATGAAGGAAGAAGATGCAATTAGCAGGAAATTATAAATTAATGAGAATTAACAAAGGAGCTAGTACATTATCAGCCTTAGATATCTAGAAAATTAAATTGCCCATAATGAGCATAAAGTACTCATTAAGGATTTCCTCACTGCAAACAAGTCCCAGCATCTTCTGCAGAGGCAGAATTTTGCCAGTCCCTAAGCTGTTCTTAGTTGTCAGTCCACAGTACTTTATCTAAAGAGGAAAAGCATCATTATCACCATATATTACACATTCTGACAGCAAAATTGTCATGAAGGAGCTGCATTCTCCCAAAAGAATGCTAAACACTTTTTATGGGAAAATCGTATCTGTCTTATGATAGCCTCCTAACAAATAATTGAACGTTATTTAGGAAATGCAGTCAGAATAAATGAAAAATTCAAGAATTTAAGGCAAGAGCAGCTTTAGCTTAGGAAATTTAGGTTCAGGCACTAATGGTACAAGTTATAGGATAAGAAACTGAGATTATGATCCAAATTTACAAGTATCTTAGACCCACAGTGTCTGGTTTTCTTCTAGAATATTCTCAAACATCTATGTCTTCTTGCAAGGGCCAAAATCAAGAATGACCTGAGAAATCTACTTTCTTGTTCTAAAGGGTAGTTACACATAAACCATTGCCTCCCTCTCCTACCTTGTCTTTCACCTCAGATAGCTCTAAAGGGTTCTTTCTCACATTAAGATCTGGGTCTGTTTTGACCCTAAATTCCTGAGCTCAGATAACAGTCTTTCTCTGCCTTTAAAAAGAAGCCGGTATTTGAGTTGGTATAGGAGATAGGTAGATAGGTATAGAGATAGGAGATAAAGTCAGGTTTGGAGATGTGAGAAAAGAAACATCATCAAGAGCTTTGGCTTCTTCATTTACAGTTCTGAATTAGAGTTCTGGTGAGGGTCCTTCTGGTTGAAACATCATCTGGAGATAGATTCAGTGAAGTCAGGAATCACCTTTGGCATCATCCCTTTATCCAGCATACATACCTCACCCCCATCACTCTGTCCCTTTTTAGCTACTCTCATCTTCCTTCCTCTTTATAAAGCTCGTGGCCATAACTTCAGAGTGACCACCTTGCCCTAACCTATCTGAACTTCAGAACAAACATGCACCATTGCCCCTGGGTTTCTCTTGAAATCCTTGAGAAAGAAAGTCTCATCAAACTCACAGGTTTCAGATATATGCACTGAACATCTTGAAAGTTTCACTTGAAATAGTGATTATTCCTCTTTCAATGTCTAGGTGCCTGGTTGAATATACTAGATTCCTGTTTCCAGGATGA